AGCCTGTGGGAAACCAGGAAGCTGTGTGGGTGAGAAGGAGAGAGAGAGAGAGAGAGAGAGAGTGAGAGAGAGAGAGGCTAGGATTACTGTGTGGGTGGCATGAGCGAGAGCTGGGGAAGGAGAGAAAGTGGTTCCGTCTGCACGTGGGCGTGTGACAGTGGGTGTGCAGGAGCGGCTGAAGCGGTAGGCGGGAATGTGTGAGCCAGAGCCAGCTCAGGCGGTAGGTGTGTGGCAAGGAAGACAGAGGGGAGGACACGCGTCCCGCCCACATTCAGGGGAGCAGGTGCGTGTGTGCAGGACAGTGCCTGTGTCTCCTCTTCTCAGGTGGGACCACAGCTGTCAGCAACTCAGAGACACATGTCCACATGTGACAGACGTGCGTGGCGAGGGCCCTCCGGGAGGGTGTGTGCGCAGGCACAGATGTGTGCAGCTGTGTGAGTGCATGCCTGTGAATGCTGGCATGGGAACATGGCATTTTTACATGTGTGTCCAGGGATGTGTGTGAGCGTGTGTGAGTGCACAGCGAGGCATGTGTGACCCTGCGAGCTATGCCCTTTGCCCTTGCCCTCCTGTCATGGTCACTGCGGCAGGGAGTGGGCTCTTCACAGAAGCATGGGTTCCTCTGCCTCCACCAGACGGATAGAACCACCCAGATCCACACCCTTCCTGGCCCCGGAGACTCAGAACAGGGTTGGAGAGGCCCCACGCCCTCTAGACACCTCAACCCCCCTAACAAATGGCCATGGGGGCCGGCTCAGCGCAAGTCCCGGGTCCCCCGAGTGCGTCCAAGTGGGAGGGAATGTGGCTTGGCAGAGTCTCTGCCAACTCCCGAGCCTGAACAACCTTCCTCCAGCCCCAGGTGGGTGGAAGAACACAGCCTGCTGCCTTGTTGCCATGGAGACAAGGCGTTGAGAGGGTGGTTGAAAGTACAGGCCAGACCTCCCGGGGTTCAAGCCTCAGCTCCTCCACCCACAGGCGGTGAGACAAGTCACTAAACTCCATGTGCTTTAGTTTCCTCAGCCATCAGGCAGGGGTAAGGAGAGCATGGACTTCCCAGGGTGGCCTGGCGGAGGACGAGAAGTCTTCCACACAGAGACTTGGCACAGAGCCTGGCAGCGGAACTCAGAGGCTGGGCTCAGCCTGGCTCTGCCACCAACTTACTGTGTGGCTTTGGGCAAGTCTCTTGCACTTTCTGGGCTTCTGAGTCTCCATCTGCACCATCATCTCAACGAGCCCTGCCAGTGAGGACCTGCTGAGACTGTGTGACAAGGACGAGGACAGCTGTGGCACGGGGCTATCTCGGCAGGCCGTGGGTCAGCGGGTGCTGGCCTGTTCTCGGGCGCTCTTTCCTACCTACGTCTCCCCAGGTTGGCAGCCGTCGATACAGGAAACTCCACAGGCCACTGCCCACCTCCCCTCTGCACTGCCGGTCCCCAGCCTGGCCTAGGACCCTGCTCTGCACTGCTCAATGGGTACTCAGGCCTTAGAGAGGCGACATTGGTATCCCCTGACCCCAAATAAGGTCTCTGCACGCCGGAGGCTCACACGTCACACTGCCAGGGAACCCTCCGGAGAGGCAGGCATAATTGCGGAAGTGGGGATGTAATTGTCTGAAGATGCACCTAATCCTCTAGAGTAACAGGAGGAAGCTTTAAAGGAAGCACTAATCCACTAATAACCTGGCAGCCCCATGGGCTTCTTGCCTCCGGATCTCCGGGCTGAGGGAAGGGGCTACGGCCACTCCCTTCCTTTCCCAAGGGGCAGAGAGGCAGATGCAGCCTCTGACCCAAGACCACCCGGATTTTGACTCTCCTGCAAGACTCAGCTTCCTTCCTGCCTCCACCTCCAAGAAGTCTTCCCTGGTCACCCCATCCTTCTGAGGTCGCTTCCGCCTCCTCTGTCCCCAGAAATGTTCAGACCAGAACTAGATGACTGACTGACTGGACACCGAAGAAAGGAATGAACCCGACTGTTCAGGGCAGAAAGAACACGATCATGGACTCAGCTCTGGCACTAGCTGTGTGATCTTGGGCAGGGGATTTAAATCTCTGAGCCTCAGTGGCCTTGCCTGTAAAATGGGGAGAAAAATGCCTACCTTGAAAGACCCTAGGGCAACAAGGAAAATGAGATGCCAATGACCTAGCTCGCTGTGAGATGCCCACAAGTTCATGACAGTTAGTCCTCTGTTCTGTCCTCTCCGTCCTCAGCCTCTCTGCCATCCCCGTGTCCACTTTACCCCCAAAGTTCCAGAAGGAAATGATGCCCCAGAGCACAAGCCCTGCATCCCAAAACACTGGTTGGGTCATGGCTTAGCAGCTTCTAGCCATGTGACTTGGACAAGTCACTTATATTTTCTGAACCTCCATTTTCTCATCTGAATAATGGAGATAATAATAGTATGTCCCTCGTGGGGATTGCCATGAGATTCAAAAGTATATAGCTCTTGGCACAGTGGGCTGAGCACACCAGGGTTTATCAAATGGCAGCAGTCGCATGGTAGAGCTGATGATGACAATTTCTTTTTTTCTGAGTCGGCCTCTCACTTGGTCATCCAGGCTGGAGTGCAGTGGCACACTCATAGCTACCGCTGCTTCGGCCTGCTAAGTTCAGATGAACCTTCCACCTCAGCCTTCCAAGTAGCTGGAACTATAGGCGTGGGCCACTGTGCCTGGCTGATTTTTTTTTTTTTTTTTTACTGTAGAGACGAGGTCTCGCCATGTTGCCTGGGCTGGTCTTGAACCCGTGGGCTCAGGCAATCCTCTCGCCTCAGCCTCCCAAAGTGCTGGAATTACAGGCATGAGCCACCACACCTGGCTGACAATTTTTCTTTTTAAGAGACAGGGTCTGGTCTCACTCTGCCACCCAGATTGGAGTGCAGGGGTGTGATTGTAGCTCACTGCAACCTCGACCTCCTGGGCTCAAGTGAGCCTCCTGTTTCAGCCTCCCAAGTAGCTGGGACTACAGACTTGTGCCCCCATGCCTGGTTAATTTTTTTTTTTTAATACAGACAGAGTCTCACTGTGTTGCCCAGGCTGGTCTTGAACTCCTGACCTCAAGAGATCCTCCCACCATGGCCTCTCAAAGTGCTGGGATTACAGACATGAGCCACATGCCCGGCTGACAATTTTTTTTTAAGGGACAGAGTCTGGTCTCGCTCTGTCACCCAGGCTGGAGTGCAGTAGTGTGATTGTAGCTCACTGCAGCCTCGACCTCCTGGGCTCAAGTGAGCCTCCCGTTTCAGCCTCCCAAGTAGCTGGGACTACAGGCTTGTGCCCCCATGCCTGGTTAATTTTTTTTGTTTTTTAAATACAGGCAGAGTCTCACTGTGTTGCCCAGGCTGGTCTTGAACTCCTGACCTCAACAGATCCTCCCACCGTGGCCTCCCAAGGTGCTGAGATAACAGGCATGAGCTACCACACCCAGTAGATCATTGTAATTAATTGTCAACATCCCTTACATACCTATCTAGATTACTCTAAAATTTCTAAGACACTGCCACATCTAAGATCAATGCAGCCTGACAACAGCCCTCTTAGGTAGACAGGGCTCCTATTTTTACTTCATTTTCACAAATGAAGAAATGGAAACTCCCCAAGAGGGAGGGATTTTCTAGGGTTAGGCCAATCGGCCTTGAGTCCAGAGGCAGTATCTGTGTCTCCTGAGCCCAGCCTGGGTCCGTGACAGGACGGGGCAGGTCCTGGGGGCTTCAACCTCTAGAGACCAGGCCTTGGGCTGACCCTGGCAAGGGGCCACCTCCAAGTTTAAGGCTGCTGGGCTGCCCTGTGGTCCTCCTTCCTGCCCAGAGGCATTGAAGGTCCCCCCTTGCCCCTGCCCTGCTCCCTGCGTGACCCTGACCTGGCAGAAACGGTGGCCATGGGGGTGATCAGAGCTTGGAGAGAATTGTTGCAGAGAGAAGCGGGGGCGGGAAGGCTGGTGAGATGCCAGCCGGGCGTCGGCGACGCCTGCAGAGAAATGAAGTGTTCCTTCAGTTCCTGACGCGCACGCCCTCCCAGGCCCATGTCCCCCGCACACCCTGCACCCCCAGAGCTGCTGGCAGCGGCTCCTGCCCGAGCCAAGCATGGCCCGGCTCACGTCCTCCCATCTGGACCCGCTCCATGTCTCCAGGGCCTGTGGAGGTGATCAGTGTAGCTTCCTGCTCGAGACTCCAGTCACCGCAGGAACATGGCCACCACCCCTCTCTCCCTCCCTTCCTCTGTCTTGGCGCACCCTGGGCTCTCCCACACGCCATGGGCCGCTCTGCAGCCTGGTGGATTCTAATAGATGGAAACCAAGGCCCAGGGGCACTTGGGCCCAGCACAGCCACGCACATGCTGAGTGGCCTGAGCTATCTCTTCCTCATTCTGTGCCTCCATTTCCTCACTTGTACAATTAGGAGGTCAGATGAGATCAGAGGCTTCCGTCTACCTCATAAGCTCCAAGAGGTCAGTGGCCACATGGGTTTCGTCCAGGGCCGGGGCCCCAGCACCCCACATAGCCACACTTAGTACATTTCACAAGGGGTCCTGTCCTGTCAGTGACTGGGAATGCCATAGCCATTTGCTACCACAGATAACTAAAGAACAGACGAGCAAGAGATGGACTTTTTTTTAACCAGGCAAGATAGCATGGCTTTCTCTCATGGCCTTATCACGTGCCTCTTAGGCAGAGGAGGGAACAGGGTCAGATGTGGCACAACTGGAGGGGGTGGAGCTCTGGTCCCTCCACAGCTGTCCATCTGGGCACTAGCTGTGTGATCTTGCTCAGGGGATTTAAATTCTCAAGCTCAGTGGCCTCACCTGTAAAATGGGGAGAAAAATGCCTGCCTTGAAAGACAAGGGCAATGAGGAGAATGAGATGCTACCCAATGACCCAGCTCGGTGTGAGACGCCAACAGGTTCATGAAAGGTAGTCCCTGGGACAACGTGGGCAGGAGCCCGGCATCAAGGACCCATGGGGCTCCGGTGGCTCTGGGAGTCCAGGGGAAAGGGACACAGGCTTACCTGGCTTCTGGGCCACCCTGGGCCCAAGGCCTGGGCTGGGGCTAGCTGTCATCACCTGCTGGACCTTCCCGTCGCGCCCGTCCTGGCTGGCCCTGCCATCCTGCCGGGGGCTCCCTTGTGTCTCCCTGGAGCAGCTGGGCGGCTGCGGGGCCCCCTGGGCGGCTCTGCAGGCAGGGCCATCCCCACTCCGGCTGACCACCTCGTCCTCGGCCACACCCGCGCCTGCCTCTCCCTGCAGGCCCTCCTCGCTGCTCTCTTCGGTCTCCAGAGCCAGACACCTGTAGCTCCCGTCAGGGATCCGGAAGGCACAGGGGGACGGCCTCCCCTGGCCGGGCCCGAGGGGCGGCGGTGGGAGGTGAGGGCCCAGCATGGTGCTACTGCCTCAGGGATGCAGACCAACCAGGCCTGGGCTGGGGCTGGTGACCCCTTTGGGAGCTGGGCTGTGTCCTCTGAGCGCTGCCCTCTCAGGCCTCCTCTGGCTCTCAGCTGCTCTGCTTCCACCACTGATTCACAGAATTGGGGTGGAGTCTGCTGAGGGGGAGATGGGTCCTTCCGCCTCCAAGCCCCCTTGGCCCGTCTCTGGGGTGGCGGCCCCTTCAAGATGATCCGTCTGCACAGGGAGAAGAGGAACAGCGAGTGAGACCCCTCGCCGGAGTCCCGCGCTGAACTCCCAAGAACCTCAGGGACACTGACAGCCAGCTGGAGTTTGAGGTGCAGGCCTCCCAAGTCCACAAAGAAATGTTTCCCAAGCTCCCAGCATTCAGCTCCCCAGATTTCCACCCATCCTCCTGCTATCCGAAGCTTCGTTTATTTAATATTCTTCCTGTAACCAACTTTAAACAACTTCTATCACTTTGAACTTAAGCAATAAATGCAGGGAAACCACTAGTCTATTGGGCTAAGTCATTGTCTCCTTAACACACACTAAATAAATACCTTGTTATTTTAAAATACATATCTGGGCATAAGAAGTCTCTCACACCCCACCAAAGATACGTGTACCACAGGAATCACAGAAACGCGGGAGACAGGAGACGCAATCTGGGATGGGGACCCCTCAGTGCACTGAGAACCCTCGCTCTGCCGTCAGCAAGCCGCTTGACCTCTCTGAACCTCCACTTGCCCATCTGCACAATGGGTACTGTAACATCTCCAACTTAGCATCACACGAGAAAATACACGCTGAGGACTTTGCACAGTTTCTAAGCCGTGACTGAATAGATGTTGGCTGTTCTTTCCTTCCACACACATTTCTCAAGATCCTATTATATTCCGAGTACCAGAAAAAGTACCGGGGAGAAAGTGGAGGATAAGGAAGAGACGACATTCTGGCTTTTGAAGGCTTCAGATCCATGGGGAGAGCTGCCAGCGATACACAAACAATAGCAACGTATTTATAAATGTTAGGAATGCTGATCATTGGGGGGATTCCCATAAAGGATGGGGGGCAGGGATGGGAGAGATATTTGGGCAGGAGAATTGGCTGGGCTCGGAGACAGATGGAGGGGGGTGTAGGGAAGAGGGAGGATGCGGCCCAGGTTCCCAGCTCTGGTGATAGTGACTTTGATGATAGAGAGAATTAAACGGGAAGGAGCTAGCGCTGGGGTGTGGGGCAGGGGGGGTGCCAGAAGATGAGCTGGGCTTGGGGCTTCTGTGGCCTTGGACAGGGCAGCTCTCCATGGGAGGGGAGTTGGGGGGCTGGAGAGCAGGGGAGAGCTCCAGACTGGGGACGGGGACCTAGAAGTCCCTGGTGGAGGCCAAGGGTGGGGGCGGATGAGGTCCCCCGGGATGGGCAGGCAGCCTTGAGGCAGGACAGATGCCAGTTACGCCGGGGAGGAAACCCTAGAATTAGCAGATCTTGCTTAAAGACTGGATCCCGTCACTGCTTAGCTGTATGAACCTGCTTAATCTCACTTATCCTACGGCAAAATGGGAAGAAAGGAACCCCGCACGCTGGCTTCCCACGGGCAGTGGGAAGCCAAAAACCGGGAAAGCCTGTGCACATGGGGACCTGGGCCTGGACTGACCCCAGCTGCCATGGCCAGGCCTTCACGCCCCCCAGGCAGGGTTGGGCACCCCCCGCCACCACTGTAGGGGCTCAAGGCTTTGGGTTCTGCTTGGGGCTGTGCCAGGAGAGCCTGGCAGGCAGGCAGAGGGATAAGCGTATTACCAGGCCCGAGGGCAAGTGGAGCCAACCAGGGGAAAGGCAAATACGAGTCGGGATTGGGCGATAGATAGACACTGGCTGCGGTGGCCTCCGCACAGGGAAACCAGGAGAAGAGCCATCTTGTGCCCGGGAGGGACAAGAGCACAACCTCCTGCACCTGTTCCATCCGGGAATTTCATGAAGGTTATTGGAGCAAATTCTCACAACAACCTGAGGGTTAATACTACCTTATTATGATCCCATTTCCAAGGTGAGGAAATGGAGGTTCTGGCAGGCGAAGTGAGTCACACAGTTAATACAGGGAAGGGTTGGGGTTCTCACGTAGCTCTGACACCTTGACCATGACAGTGGACACCGAGACACAGAAGAGAGGCTCCAGGCCCTCCCCCTCTCCAGGGGCTTCTCCCTTGCCCACTGCTGCCAGTTTTCTGCCATATGAGTTTCAAAGAATCTTTTTTTTTTTTTTATGGGGCCTTACTATGTGGCCCAGGCTGGTCTTGACCTCCCAGCTCAGCCTCCCAAGTAGTTGAAACCACAGGTACACACCACTACATGGGGCTGATTTTTAATTATTTTTTTTTTGTAGATATGGGATCTCACTATATTGCCCAGGCTGGTCTCAAACTCCTGGCCTCAAGCAATTCTTCTACCTGGGCCTCCCCAAGTGCTGAGCTTACAGGTGTGAGCCATCGTGCCCAGCCTCAAAGAATCTTAGAATCTCACAGAGGGCCAGTAGAATTTCAAAAAGACCCACCTGGCTGTGTGACCCTGGACAGGTGCCCTCTGCACATTGGGGTCAGTTTCCGAAGGGACACAGGGGTATGGCTGGAGGGTCCATCCACCTCTGGCTGTGCAGGACCCCCCATTCTAGGCATATGGACCTCCCCACCCCTCATCAAAGAGCCAGATGGCTGGAGGCAGAGCAGTGGGCGGGGGAGGGGCAGGGCTCTCTGACTCCCGCAGGGCCCCGCCTCCTCTGCCCCTGCTTCTGTTTTGATGTATTTGACGGTGGCCGCGGTTTCCAGGAAAGAAGAGAGAGGCGGAAAAGTTAACTTTCCGCCACCCACACAAATATTTCTGGCCAGCGTTGTCTCCGCGCTGCCAAGCCAGGAGGGAGGGGTTGGCAGGAGCGCTCCAGGCTCCCTCCCAAGGAGGGGGAGGCTTCCAGCCAGCTGGGCCAAGACCACAGCCCCCACCCCTGCCTGGGAGCCGGGGACTCGGGACCCACAGTGGTCATGGCCACTGCCCCCTGAGCACCTGCCAGGCGTGGGGCCCAGCCCTCTGGGATGCGATAGGAGTGCAGTCTACAGATGAGAAAACTGAGGCAGGGGTAGGTGACTGTCATGTCCAGCATCACGTGGGTGGTAAGTGGCAAAGCAGGCTGTGATTGAAGGTGCTGGGGTCTGTACTTGTTGTCAGTGTTCTCGGCAACCGCAGGCTGGGGCCTCAGGGACCCCCACGGCCCTGAGGTGTTGAGCTCAGCCACAGCTCAGATAGCCACCCCGCCTGTATGGGCCCAGCCTCCGCAGACATGGGGGCAGGGAGATTCCACAGAGATTGGGTTGCATCTTCCCAGATCTATACCTTCCTCCGGCCGTGGGTGCTGACACACCTGAGTCTTGGCAGGAGGACTGACGGAGCCCACCCAGCCCACTGTCCCAGGCCCAGAGGGGACTCAGTCTGAGACGGGAGGGACTTGTCAGGGCAGTTCAGAGGCAGGTGTGGCCCTAGAACCCGCGTCCCCAGACCCCAGTCCAGCTCCCCGTGCAAGCCTGCTCCCCGAGAACTGGCCACCCTCCTCCCTGTCCCTCCTCCCAGCAGTCCACGCAGGCCCAGGACCAGAGGCCCAGTGAGCGGCAGGTGCTCCACGGCCTGAGGCCTTGGGGTCCTCACAGCCCTTCCGCAGCTTTCGGTGTGGTGGAGGAGGGAAGCTGGCTTTGGAGTCGGATCTGGGTCCGAATCCTGACCCCCCCACCTGGTGGCTGCTAGCCTCGGGTGAGGAGGTTCGGCTTTACCATCTGCAAAATGAGCACATGTGGGACAGACAGAGGAAACCCAGGCCCACTCCCGCAGCCCCAGGGAGTGAGGACGCATGCCCTGCCATGTGCTGCTCCCCGCGGGCTCTGTGACGCTGGGGAGCCTGGCACCCAGGCCTGGGGCTCGGCGTACAGGCACAGCCAGCCTCCTCCCAGTCCCCACCAGCCCCAGTCCCCCCAGGCCACGGGAGCCTGCCTTGTGCTGCAGAGGAAAGGAGGGGAGTGGCGAGTGCTGGGCCAGGGCTGAAGCGAGGGCACTGCAGAGTCAGGGCATGGGGTGCCGGGTTCGACTCCCGTGGACTTACTAAGCCATGCTGGGGACGTACCCAGCCCTGCTTCCATAGGGGAAGGCTAGACAGGCCTCGAGGGGGGTGCAGCCCAGAAAGACTGACCCTCATTCCTGCAAAGACCCGGCTGCCAGAAAACTCCCTGCCTGGCCTCCCTGCCTGCCATCTCTTCCTATCTCCATCCTGTACAGGGTCTGCTCCGTTTTCCCCAAGTGCAGCCCCAATCGTGTTGCTCGCCTGCTCAGGAGCTTTCCATGGCTCCCCACTGCCCACCGACTAAAGCAAATGCAGTTCAAAGGCAGAGCTCAGGATTCCTGACTGAGGGGACTGGAGGAGGGCTTCCTGGGGTGATCCCCCAAGACCCAGAGGGAGAAGTAGGCAGGGCCACAGGGGGTGGGAGGAAGAACACGGCTTGAGGAGGCTGAGGTTGGGGTGCACACAGAAGGCCAAGGGGCACAAAACAGGAGAGCAGGTGGCTAGGGTGTGCCAGGCTTCGGTGGCCCAGACTCTCCCGCCGGCTGAAGAGACAAGGCAGGGCAGGCCTACAGGATGGAGGGGAAGACCCCTGGCACCCAGCTCCACTGGCCGGGGTTGGAGGCAGCATGGCTGGAGAGAAGGAGGGGGAACCAGGACAAGGACTGGCAGGCAGGCTCCCCGCGAGAGGAGGCTTTGGGAAAAATTTCCTCAGCGCTTGGCACAGTGCCAGATGCTAAAACAATCGCGATGACAATGGCTGGTGTTTATGGAGTGTTTATGATGTCAGGTGCTGCCCCGACACCCCGTGCACGGCAGCTTGGCTGAGCCTCGGCACACCCTGTGAGGACCATGCTATTATTATCCCCATTCCACAGATAAGGAAGTTGGGCGACATGACGCCTGT